TGAGAATGATGTACAAATGTGCTTTACACAATTGATGTGTGTATGGATTGCGATAACAGTTGTATGAGCCCCTAATAAAATGTTTTTTTTTAAAAAAAGGTGGTGTCTTTCAGTCAGGATGGTTCCCATAAACCTATCATTTGAATTGATGCCCTTTGCCTCTGTTGGCCTCTGTTCTCCCCTCCTCTGGGGGCAGGTGTGCTGTCATCAAGTTCGGAGGCAGGCGCTCATCGCCATACGGGACCTCTGACTCAGTCTTATGCAGAATAGGACAGGGGCTGAAAAATTCCCGACATGGAGTTGTCGGGCCCCAGGGGAGGGCAGCGTTTCCTTTCTTGGGTGCTTAGATATACTTGGGATGAAAATTTGTGACACTGGGCTTTAAGAATAGGCCCTGTGGCCTGTGCCCCTGATCTTCTCTAAAGTGTTAGTGAAAGGCTGGAAGAATTGCAATATGACTCAGATTCTTGATCTGGATATGCCTTGACTGTGTCCCCTGAGGCAGTGCCCAGAGCCAGGAGGAGCCACCTTAAGCGTGACGTTGACTACCAGCCAGGGAATGTCTGACCTTGGCTCACACTGTACCTTCTGGCTTCTTGAAGTATTAAGCTAAACTACTTAGCTGTAGATGAAAGTGATTCCAGAGTCTCGGCCCCGGGTGCATACGCCTTCCGCCTGAGAACAGTTCTGAGACAATCAGAAGGAGGATTTAGGGCAGATGAGATATTTAACTCTAGGCCTGCAAAAAATAGCAGGGATTGAATTCCATTGGTGCCTATTCCTTGACCCCCATCCCCACAATCCTTTTGGTTGCATTTTTTTTCTTAATGTGCTCATGATGTGCATCCTGCCTGTTCTCACCACCCAAAGCCAAGACAAGACTGCTCAACTGTTTGACGCTAACCCTCTATTCTCTGGTGACCAAGTTTTGGTCACAGCTTCCCAGGAAAGTTTCTGAACAACTGTAAAATAATAAAGTTATTTTCAGGCAAAAAAAGAGAGACTGTAACTGTTTATGGGGGGTAGAAAGCCTGTCTTTCTCCCAAGGAGCTGCTGATGTTTTCGAACTGCTGACCATGTGTATCACAGCCCAATTAGTAACCACTACATCACCAAGGTTCCTCGTTTACTATATATAATTCTGTCAATCTCTAAGCTAGACGCTTAACCCAAATTTGCTCTCTCTATGAGAGGTCATGTCTCACTAATCTTGCACATCTGTGGACTGGGCACTAGCAGTCAAAGACCTGTCCCTTTTTCCTCTTCATCAGAACAGAGTGAATTGTGTGTGCAAACGTGTCCTTCAAAGAAAACACAGCATCCAATTGTTAAGCCGTGTTTTTCAAGAGACATGAGCAAATCGGAAGATTCTGTAGAAATGAGATTTAAAAAAAAATTAATCATACAGGTTATCTATGCGTTCAGGCAAATATTCAGACTGACCCAAAGCTGAAATACTTGAACTTAAAAAAGCTGTTTTTGTGTGGAGGGAGCAAGGTGACCGGATTCTTCAGGGGAAGAAACCAGGGGTTGGTACTTTCCCAGGGTACTGGAGAGCACACCGAGACACAGGCATGGGTTGTGTTGTTGGTGCTGAGAGTTTGGCAGAAGTCCTGGCTCAGTGAGTCTCTGACTCAGGCATCTGGGGGCTGCAGAATCTGATTAGGTGTCCCCAAAGTGCCTTTGGCATAAATGATTACCAACAAGTGACAAAGCAGTACAACGGAGAAAGGAAAGAGCCAGTGAAGTGTGTTTGCAAATAGGAAGAAAAATGGAAACTGAGGGAAACGACTTTTAAAAAATAAAATGGCATCCTGGCCCACCAGGCCTTGAGGACGATGACCCCAATTAGAGCAGCCAGTCCACAGAGAGGACTACATGGCCAGCCCCACTATGAGACATGATGCCCCTCACTGACCCACGGCCCTGCGGGGGACAACACCAGAGACACAGTGTGGGAATTGCACCCAATCT